ATTTTGGAATGATGGACCTATATCACCATCTAAGCCTGAGGCTCAAAGTACACGTAAATCTATCAAAGGAAAATAAGAAAAAGTAAAACCTATTATATTTCTTTTAGGTTGCTACTTAAAATTTGTGGTGGTCCCTGAATACACAGTAATTTGCAGCCATGCACTATTTCCCTACCACCACTTACATAATTTTAGGCAAATTTCTATTCCTGAAGAGAAAATAAATAAAATACAAATTAAGACAGTTTTAGTTTTCTTCAGTAACTTATTTCATTATTTAACACCTGTTGACAGAATAACATTAAATTTTAGGCATGTAAACAAAACTCTAAAGAGATCTCCCCTGTGATCTACCACAATTCAAAATACATAGGATGTGAAGCTGGAGATCCTTTTTGATCTCTGGGCTCAAGCCTATACAATTGTTCAGAGCTAGAGGTCACTACTTAAAGTTGATCTTCCTGTTTATTGTAGAAAACAGGCTTACTCAAATTCAGAGACATGTGAATGAAGTTTATTTAAAACCCCTAAAGAATGACCTATTTTTATGAGATGATTCCAAAGAATTCATGAATAGTTATACTATTTAACAGGTGAGTAACACATCAGAAGCCATATGGTGAAATAGATCTAACATGCATAGGTAAGACATATTTGTTTACATGTAGATTAGCATGATCTACAGCCAAATGTAGCTATACATCATGCCTAATAATGTGAATTCACTTATTTGCAATTGGTAAGGAAGGAATGGTGTTATCATTTATATATTATCATTTATAAATATGGTGGCAAATATACAACTTTGTTAGACCTATTACAAAAGATGAATGAATTCTGAGTAGTCTGCCCATACCCTATTTTTCCCATAAATTCTTTCTGTTTTGGTACACAGTTTTGGAGAACTTGAACGTTTTTAGGAATATATATATATTGCACTATAGCAGAAACACAAAGTAGCTAAGGAAATCCTTTATAATATTCTAGTATTTCCAAATGCATTAAATTCTTCATTATCTTTCTTAATAACCCAATAAAGTTTCCATAAAGTTACCTTAATATTCTGGACGCACAAAATTTTTCTCTCCAAGAACTACCACAACAACTTTTCTTACACATGTTGTATTTGAAAGCAGCTATCAAAATACTAACCTCTTGTATTCCAAGGCAAAGATAATAGATGCTGTCAGGTGCATAGTTCTCTCCATTTGGCCGTCGGATCTCATTAACAAAATGAGCTAACCCATAGTTAAGCTCAGCTGTGGTGTGAGAGAGTAGATCTTCTTTTAACTTTACTGATTTAGCTAAAAAGAATTAAAATAAAAAATCAATAATTGCTATTATTTAATGTCTTAATGTTAAGAAACTTTCTGAAATTAATTTATTCTTTGTAAGAACTTTAAGGTAAAATAAAATGCATTCTTAGAATTATTTTAAGCTACATTTTTGTTTTTTAAAATTAAAGGTAGTCTGTAACAGAAATCTTGATTTTAAACAGGACTTAAGAGAAATGAAATCAAAACACTTACGAGATTTTAGCTCATCTAATACCAGAAGATCTTCATCAAGTTGCCTAGTTTTTACCCAGTGTTTCCACGCATTTACACCGTATGTATATTTGAAAGGAAAGCTGCACTCTGAATTGTCAGAACTATCATCATGAGACTGGTATCCTGATACAGCTTTTCTCTTGGCTCCCTGTTAGTAAAACACCACAGTAAAATCTTTTTTATTAGCCTACATTATTTCATGACTTTAGGTAAGTCGTCTCTCAACAGGCAAATTACAGCTGACCCTTAAACAACACAGGTTTGAACTGCATGGGTCCACTTACATGCAGATTCTTCTCAATAAAAGTTACACTGAGTGTACCTGCCTCTCCTGCCTCCTCACCTGTGCCGCCCTGAGACAGCAGGACCAACCCTCCTCCTCCTCCTCCTCCTCAGCCTACTCAATGTGAAGATGTCAGGAAGAAGGCCTTTATGATGATCCACTTCCACTTAATGAATAGTAAATATATTTTCTCTTCCTTACGATTTTCTTGATAACTTTTTCTCTAGCTTACTTTATTGTAAGAATACAGTATATAAAAAATACACGTTAATCGACTGTCTATGTCATGGGTAAGGCTTCTAGTTAACAGTAGGCTATTAAGTAAAGTTTTGGGAGAGCCAAAAGTTATATGCAAATTTGACTGCCTGGGGGTGGTCAGTGCTCCTAACCCCCACATTGTTTAAGAATCAACTTTAACATTTACTTTCTTAGAATTTGCTGGTATTCCTGAACCTGAGAATAGTTAGTTACCAATAACATTTCTTGAAATGTATTTCCAGGAATATGATGTTTCTACACAAATCACTTTGTACAACAAAATCATATTAAATTCTGCTGTGAGAGTCACCAGTGATAAGAAAATAATTAAATATAAGACAATTAACAAACTAATAACCTAAGTATTAATGTAAGAGAGAAGATGAAGAACTTTTCAACCAAATCCTTTCTACTTTATTGATGGTATTGTTTGTGTTGCAAAAGTTTCTAATTTTGACGTAGTCCAATTTATTTATTTTTTTCCTTTTCTTC